TCAATACCTCTTCAGTAAGTACTATCTTATCATGGAGTTCACTCTGCAACAACAACCTCTGTCCTCTAGAATACCAATAACAGCAGTAAAAGCCACTCCCATCTGTCAGGTAAACAGATGGGAGTGGCTGATTGCAGCTCCAGCAAAGGCACGTGTAACATGTTCATTTCCCTAAAGGAAGAGTCGCACAGTGTTACTGGAATGCTGCAGCAGAAAGATCAGATGGATTCTGCTAAATTAACTTGCTGTATTTGTTTGGATCTCCTGAAGAGATCCAACAGCAGAAAGGACAGAGACTTTGGTCAACTGGAGAGAGGAGGTCGCGGCAACCCTATAAAGGTGTTGAAGTCAGCCGAAGGCAGTGACAACACTGACTGCTAGCCCCAAAAACAGTGGCACTTTTGACTGTTACGTTCCTGGGCCTTGTAGGCTGGGCTGCAGGTGTTGCTTTTGTGTCTTTGTGCTCCTCCCCTTTGCAGGTGTCTCTTATCCATTGATTGGGAGTGCAGAGTACTTGAACCTGGCTGTCTCCGTCTTCTGGGTCGCCTTTAGAGTCCACTCTGCCGATTGACACTTGTGGTGTTTGTTACCAGGCCTCAGCTCCCCCTCCTTTTTGCACATATGCGTTTGTCTTTGTTTTTGCACTTCAACACTTCCATATGCACTCATACAACACATCCAAGCATTTGCATTACACCACTGATACTGATATCCACAATCCATTGTTGTTTTTGTTAATAAATATTAATTTAAATGCACTTTAACCCCTGCATGGTCTCCCGTTTTGTTATGACCTTGAGCCAGTCGTAACAGTGACCAATAACGGCAGGTGTCAGAGGAAGTGCCAGTACGAGGTGCCGAGATCAGCCGAAGTCAGTGACAACACTGACAGCTAGCCCCGTAAACAGTGGCACTTGTGGCGCATAATGACACCTGCCACCGGAAATGCCATTAGTAGGTGCGGTGTCACAATTTGCGCCTGCTGTCTCTCCTGTGGGAGGAAGCCGGAGTACCCAGAGAAAACCCACCATGCACAGGGAGAGCATGCAAACTCAGTGCAGAAAGACCCCGGGACCTTCTTACTGCGAGGCAACAGTGCTACCACTGCACCACTGCAGCTACTGTATGAACTACATTAAAGACATCTACAATGGAGAAGATCAGAGGAGAATCCACTCTCCCTCAGTGAGTTAGAGTTTCGTACAAAGGTCTGTCCTGGAGAAAAACATTAATACACCCATTTGCCCAAGATGAAGAGGTTTGTCACAGCAACATATCAGTAGTACTCCAACCAGTTTAACAGGCTGAAGACAATGTGACTCATATTTCAAGTATTGAATGTGTCTCCTATTTGCTCTCACAAGACTGACAAGTGTGCAAGGGAATTAAAATACTTCATCCAATTGTACATCAACAATTTATTCACAGATGATATATAGATAATAAATATGTTTCAGCTAAAGCTTAAAAAATAAACCTGGGGGTTAAAAATGAAGTTGCCTGTGTTGTAGGCTAATACTGCATTTAAGCTGCTCTTTCACCTGGATTGGAAAATGCAGTGATAACCACTCCCATTTCTCAAACACACATTCTGACAGCTTATTTCCTGGTGCTTCGCCTCAGATGCCAAAGTCACTGTGAAGGTGAAGAACCGACAAGTCCACTTTCTGCACTTCTGTGAGTAAAAAAGTTAAACTAAGTTTGGCTTATTGTTTGTCATATATATATTGCTGAGAAGGACAGAAGGGAACTACTGAAGAGTTGAGAGGTGAAATGGCACAACGAGGAAATCAGATAGAACCAGATAAATACTCTTGTTCGATCTGTTTGGATCTTCTGAAGGATCCGGTGACTATTCCCTGTGGACACAGCTACTGTATGAAC